AAAGCAAATGGATAATGAAAGAACCAAGAATGTGAAATCTACAGAAAAACTCCACATCAGTGCCCGTTACATAAATTTATCATCAACTAATTTTACAAACACAGGAAAGAAGAAGATGGGGATGATGAATCTGGAGGGAAGGAAATAACCCAAAGAACAAACCAAAACCAAAATGGAGACTATTTCTACATCATATCTTAATAGCCAGTATCATATACCCCATGGCGAAACAGGCTGGCACAACAACATGCCTGAATTCCTTACAGGGTCATGCACTGGAAAACTTCAGATCTCGTAACTCTCATGCTTACTCCACCTCCCAAGGGCTCAGCATGGAAGAAGAACAACCATGGTTATGGAAATGGATAAACCAGTGCAAACTTGCAGTGTTATTTCAGTATTATTACTAGAAACTGCTGCTTTTGTATTTTAGAACTTATATAGAATGAAAGAAAAAAGAGTCATTTTTTCTGAAAGCTTTAAAAGTTAGAATTTTTTCTCTCGGAGTTACTTTGAATATATTTGCATTATTACCAGCAAATTCAAACTAACACACTTAATTACCATTTTCAATAAGAAACTACTATTATTTTGATGCCTCACTGTCAATAACCACCTTGTTCCCTTGCTATTTGCACAACTGATTTCATAGTCTGTCATCAGTCCCCATGAATGTTGACACAGCGATGCAAACAACCAACTTGGAGTAAGCCTGCATATCAAAAGAAAAAAATTAATCATATTGTATTTGGGAGCTCAAACCTCGGTAAAGAATATAGAACAGAAAGGTCTGGTTTGGTTTAAGGCAAAATACTCATTTTTAATTTCCTTGATGTTCAATTACAACCGTCAGCTAGTCTGGAGTAAAGCAAACCCTGTTCTTTTAATGTGTTTTCAGCTGGCAGACAGCATTTTACAGAATAGGACATAAGCGAGAGTCTAGCCAGTATAACTCTAGGTTTAGTTAATGGCTAATCTGGCATTTGTTCAACTGTGCACTTCAAACAGCAAGACAGAGAAGGTGCATAAAAAGAAAAAACATGACTCTCTATCTTCACCACCTCATTTATGTGGCTGATGGAAATGATAGCCTATCAGAAGTGTCAGCAATCTAGTGAAAGCTGGCATGTAAATATTTATGCATTCTGCACGATAGTCAAGCCCTAGCTGGCTGTCCTTTCCCATATTTCTAGCAATAACAGAAACTGCAGTGCAGATAAGAAAAAGCTAAAATTAGCATTTCTGTGATTAAAACATCACAGAATTTAAGACAATTTAAAATGATCATTAATACAAACCTGAACATGCTAAATGCTAAATGCTTCTACAGTTAGAGTAACCTAAGTTATCTGGGAATAAAAAGTACTCCATGCTACTCAGAAGGACATGGCTTCTTGCCAGATTACCAAGGAAACTATACATTAAGTTTTAACATTATATATAAACCATGGCCTGTGTTGCAATAAATTTTGGTACTTTGTTTGGCTTTTATGGAAATACAAAAATCAGATTATTCATAGTGTGCATGACTGATTTTTTAAATATTTTTTCCCTATCAGATACACTTGCTTCCAGTTCCTCGTCCAGATAGAAAAATGTGTTGGTAGCAAATGAAAAGTATTTCCATCTGAACATGATGGATGGACCTTGGTACATGAGCTTAGAGGTATCCAGGAAGTTCCTAGCATTGCAAGCTTGCCAGCACATCTGACGCTTGCTGGCAACTGTGTGAACAGTTCCTCTGCCAAACAGAGAAGTGGTAGTAGAGAGTTTTTTTCCCCTCCCTAGGGATGGTCACCATCCACTGGCAGAGGCAAACTGGTGAGACACACAGAGCTACTGCCTGTGCTGTAGGATCTCTGTGGAGAAATAAGGCAGCTGTCTCCAGGGCTGGATTTCATATGAATTGCAGTCAGCCTAAAAACTAAGGCCTGACAACCCAATTTACACAGCCAAATGTTCTACGCTACCCAGAGGAATTCTTTACACACCTTCAGAGGCCAATAAACAGGCTAATAATTTCTGAATTTTATTATTACACTGTCAAGACCAGAGCAGGATGTGCTTCAGGATGTTATAAGAAACAAAGATTAAGACAACAGCTGGCACGTTCTTCCCCAATGTCAGTGCTATCAAATATAACACAACACATCCTAATTATCACGACACCTCACCAGGACAACCACAATTAACAGGGCTGATGAGCCCAAAGGTGTTCATCATATGAGACTCTGAGGCTGGGGCAGGTATGTGCTGTGAGAAGACACAGCTGTAGCATTCCTTCTATCAGGGACCAAGACAGTCATGTTCTTGTTGCCTCTATCACCTGATATATGTGTCATCAAGAACAATATCTATAAAATAGCTGAGCAACATTCCTTCCCATTATGGTGAATAAATAATGAGAATGACCCTTCTTAGCAACAGGAGCCTAAGATAAAATCTGTATTTTTTTTAGATGGTATGGTGTCAGTCTTTGAAGTGGCTAATAAGTTCATAAAACATCTATTTCCCCTCAGGCATTGTTTTTAAAAGCAGATCACAAGCTAAAGGTATATATGTCTAGAATTCTTTTACACGATACAAGTAAATTTTAAAAATCAGTCAACTAAACAGTAATCACTATTTAGTAAGCAATTAAATAGTGTCATAAGCTCTAGCCCCTAAACTTTTTAGCTTGTTGTTGTGCTGAACTTTCTCCTGTTTCTAAATATCTCTGTTCTGCCGAGAAGGACTCAAAGCTGGACAAATACTCTAGATGCAACTTCAGGGATGCCAAATCAAGAAAGATAAACAGCAACCCTGATGTGCTGGCTGTGCTTTTACTAGCCCAGCCTGCACAGTCCACCTTATCCCCACAGGGAATGCCACCGACTGAACTTGCCAGCCACAGGAGATGCGTGGCCCTTTCTGCAGCTCCTTTCTAGCCTGCCTGGGTCAAGACTGCACTGAGACAGCTCCCGCATTACAGCTGTCCAACTTTGTACCTCTCTTTCTTATGGAACTTCATGAGGCTCAAGTCATCCAATTCCTTCAAGCTGTTGAGATTGCTCTGAAAGACAGCCCTGCATTCACACAGTAACAACAGCTGGGTCGGAACAAGGCTGTGTCCCACACCATCATCTTTGTTACCCATGAACATATTATAATGTCTCAGATGCAGTATCAAACCCTGAGCACCACCATCTGTAAATAACTGCCAGTTAAATCTCAACCACCTTTTGAATCTCACCAAACCAGCCAGTTTTTCACCCACCTTTTAGCCCACAAATCCAGTCCCTACTCTCATTAAGAATATCTTCCTCCCCATATTTACCACACTTCTTTCAATTTATCCTAAAAATATGGAAGTCTACGCTGAAAGCAAGATAAAGGACTGTAACTGCTCTTCCTCCATAGAGCCACTTATTTCATCATCAAGGCAATGAAATGGGTAAAGTATGATCTGTCCTTAGGAAATCCACGGTGGTTTTTCCCAACCACATGCACCAGTTCCCATTTCTCGACGAGCTTTGGATCGCTCAATTCCATTTCTGCATATCCAGGCAATGTCTCTATACTGCTCTTTAGGAATCTATCTCTTCTGCCTCTTTTAGTGTGGGGTCAAAAGTCCTCTGCTCAAACTGCCCCCTTGCTTGTTGTCTTGCACAGTGGGCATAGTTCTTGTGGTTTGAGGAAGATTCTCTTCGAAATGAACCAGATCTCCTGAATTCCTCCACTCTTCGGTGCAGCCTCACACAAGATCCTCCAGCAGTTTCCCAACCAAGCCAAAGGAAACTCTCCCAACGTCTTGGACTTTTATTTTGTTATTTTCCACCCCACTTTCTTCAGGGACTTAAACTCTGACCATCTCATGGCCAGTGCAACTAAGGCTGCCACTGTCACATCCCAAAGAAGTTTCTATTTATTCTTGAGAAGCAAATCCAGCAGAATGATTGACCTAACTGTCTCACACTACCTACATCAAAAACCTGTCTCCAACACACTCCAGAAATCTTCTAGATTGTTTATGCTCCACTGGGTGGCCCAGGGTAATTGAAGTGTATTTACAGACTATTTAACTCCCTCCCTTTTGTTTACAGACTCACATTAACAACCACTCCTCAGCTCTGCTGACCACCAGTAAGTCATAAAAATGCCCAAGACTCCTGATGTTACTGAGATGATTTTTAGCCTGAGAAACCTTTTGGATGAACTGTGTTTCCTTACATCAAAGCATGATCAGAAATATTATTTTGGGGCCAATGTGACTGGCCCCAAGCCCTCATCAATAGACACCAAAAGCACAATGCAACAGGAAACAAAGCTGAACAAGTTGGCAAATTCCTACAAACACGTAAGATGAAAACGAGGACTGTCTTTTGAGCAATTCATTAGCAGAAATAAACCACATAGGTTTTTTGCAAATAGTTTAAGCAGTTCTACTCTTCCCTTCCTTGGAATAAGCTTCAATTTACTTATTCCTTGTATTATTTCAGTCCACAGGAGTACAAATCAAAGTACAAAAAGGGAGATATAATCTTATGTTTAGTTATCAAGACCTATTTATTGCACATAAATCTTAGGATTAAAAAATTGGCCAATGAAGCACCATGTTGCTCCAACAGAACAAACTGTAGTCAGCTTTAACAAAAATCAGATAAATCTGCTCCTGTTGTGGTCCAGGACTGGAGGAATACTGCTCTACCAGTACAAAGAGACTGCAGTTCAGGTGAACCTTTTTGGTAGGATGTAACAGTAGGGAGTCCTGATTCTTTAAGGCTCTATAAGAGCTCTCAGAGCAGTTCTGAAGCTGATGAAAAGGTAACTGACATTTGACATATTAACACAGAAAGTGAGATTTGCTAAAGATGCCATAAAAGAAGCAGTATTGTTGAGCTTACAGTCATCCCCACAGAATTATGCTGTACACTTGAAAGAAACTGAGGAAAGAGAAACAACACACAATCTGTGATCCTAAAAAAAAAAAAAAAGCCATTTATTTAAAGCTTGATCACTACCTGGTCCAGTGGAACTTCCACAAGAGTATCTTCATCTTCTTGCACTTCAACTGCCCCCCACATTTCAGACCCTTCTTCTCTGGCTCTGTAAATATCCTCACCTATAATGGGAAAGATAGAGTGGAGGAAGTGAAGTCCAATGGTGACACAGTGTGGCTCAACAACTGAACTGCACATTCAATTTTGCTTTGAGAACAGCGTTCTGAGCTGACCCATCATTCCTCATACAGTTCTTTTAAGGAAGTCTTCAGTCTCCCATTATTGTCAATTTGTTTTTCTTCCCTTTTAACAACAAATACTTACATACTACACCATTTCGGGAAATGGGGAGAAAAGGGAAAGGGAACCGAACAAAGTCCAGGTTCTGAAGTTCCTGCACTTTGGGCAAAGGTCCAGAGTGAATCTGAACTAGATACATTATGACAACAACATAATACTTCTGTTTCTACAGTCAATTACAGCATCCCTTAGTAATGAGCATTCTAATATACATCTATCAAAAATTTCAGTCTCTGAATCAAAACCAAACATGCTGAATCAGGTCAGGGTTAAAAAATTAAGAGAAACAGCCGGTTTAGTTCTACTCCTCAACTCTAGGAACATGCAAGTAGAATTATGGCTGAAACTCCACATCTGCATTAAAAAGAACATACTCCTGGACAGCAAGGATTAATGGTTACGTTGGTATTTAATTTTGCAAAGATGTTACACAATTTAGCTTAAGTAATTTCTTTCCTCTAAGTATAAGTAGTAACTAGGGCTCTTTGAAGTTTCCAACACAGGCCTTACAGTATCAGCTAATTAGGAAAGTGAAGATAGGTCCATACAGAAAACAATTTCCAAGTGACACATGATCCTCTCTACTTTCCCCTGAACTGAAAACAGCCCAGAAACTAAAGGCACAAGTTACTCCAAATCCTCTCTCTCCATTGATCTAGTAAAGATGAAGATGTGTCCATATCCAACATAATATGTAACTACAGTAAGAAAGAGGAAAAAGTATTCCCACTGTTTCTGACTGCCTCCTAGTTCTTCATGAAAGGATCTGAACTTGGTAACGTCAATCGACCATGCAAATTAATCTACGTTGCTGGATGCTGCTAAATAAATATCTTTAGTGTAGCACAGGATCACTTTGTGGAAAAATAATGAATAAAAATCTCAAGACCTAGAGAAATCCAGAGTCCATCTGTGTAAAAAGTCAGCACTGACAACTCCATCAGATTTCCAGTTCTTTCTCATCACTAAGAGAGCCAAGGGAACAAATTCTGAGGCACCATACCACTGAAAATGGCTGACTAGAGGGGGGGTGCCAGATGGCCTTAGAAATTGCCTGACAGACACTGCCCAGAGGACCAGAAATGAAGGCTGTTCTCAGTCTTAAATTAAGAGGCAGAAATGGGGGTTTCTATGGCACATTACAATGCAATTCCAAAGTGGTACTGCTGGGTGCATCTTAGGAGAGAGATTTCCTGATGAACCAAGCAGCTTGATTACCACCCAGGCATCAGTCCTGCTGGAACCTCCCCATCCTACCAGAAGATCCATACTACTCAACCTCTGAAAAGAGCCCTGTTGGAAATACCAGAGGGTTCTTAGCATCATTGGTTGCATTCTTATCCTAAATAACTCACACATGTTTTTCAAGATCTCATTTTCATACTTCACATGAAAATAATAATCTTCTTTTTAAATTTCTATTTTCTTGGCATTTATCAAATACAATGCATGTGCATGGATGTTCCATTGAAATCAGCTAAGGACATTCAATTGATGGCAGTAGGATAAATCTTGGACAATCTACCTGTATATATTTCATAACAAGTCCCCTTTGACACAAGACTTGCTTGGGTTTTTTGACAAAATCAGGAATAAAAACATGGAGTGGCTGAGAATAACAACAAATGAGTCTGAACAGATGCTACTTTTACTTTTTCAAATAATGCCCTTCACATTTCCCATTTTTCTGAGTTCTCCAAGAGACAGAATGTTCTGTTTCTCTTTTATCATTGTTGCCTCTCATCACAGACATTTGAGTTATAGATTTCCACCATAGTCTGAGAGGAAAATGTAATGTGTTCCCTAAAAGCTACCATGAAGACTCTCCTATTTCAAGGCCTTCCCTTAACTAGTAAGAAAATAACCTTGCCCTAGATTCCTTGGCTCACTGAACTATAAAAAGTCAACTCAGTGTCTGAAAGAACTGCATTTAATATCATCATCCTTCCATTTAAACTCTGTAATAACACCTTTGCCTTGAAGGTCCCCAAGTCTTTCAACCAAAATGGGGACTGTCTGGCCTCCAGAGGTAAAAAGGATTTTGGTGCAGAGGAAATTTTCATCAGGTTTTTACTCCAGGGCAAAAGGAAGAGTACAAGGGAGATGAACATGTGTTAGCCCTGGAGGCCAAATCTACTCAGCTGAGGATTCTCAATTTTAAAGCACCTCTTCTTAGAAGAGCAGATCAGGCTCAGGGCTACGCTGAACAACTCAAGGAGACAGACATACAGTATTTTGCAAAAACTTCATCATGGGACCAGAAGGGAACAGGAAAGAGTAAAGAAAAATGTAAATTTCAGTAAGGAATCATATTTCTCATTTAAAAGAGAGTGCCCAAAAAGATAAAAAGTAACAGCAGGATTTCAAAAGGCAAAATCTGAAATCTCCATGGAATTTCTTCCAAGCACTTTCTAGCAGGTGTTTGCTCAGAAAGGTGGTCATAAATGAAAAGATATTAGTTGAAAAGAACTCTGCACAACACTGCAGCCTCTCTCGGGGATACCACTGTTCACTGTCTTGCAGAGAAAGCATTCTCAAGAGAAACAGTATTCCTGTTCTTTAACAGACTGAAAATATTATTTAAGGAAAACAGAACCTTTACAACAAAAGGGAAATTAATTATTTACCTCTGTACAAACATAAGAGAATGGAAGACACATGCCCAAAATATGTGTACAGTCAGGGAAGGAATTAAAACACTTAGGTCTGAAATGTGCCAAAACAGATGAAGAAAAAAATGACACCAACTTAAATATGGGGAAGTTGTAACCCTTGAAAAAAAAGATTCTGAAGGAAATGGCAAGGAATGCAATTAGTCTTACATTAGGAACACACACTGTTGTCTTTTGTTACAAAAAGTGAAAATAAATACAAGAATTGCAAAATAATTTACATAAAATTAATTTGAATAAATGGAGCATTATGAAAATAGCTTAAAATGTTAATATTATTAGCATTGCTACTCTACAGCCAGAAGTATTTACACTTCCTACATGTGAAGTTACAAATATCTGGAGGATGGAAGCTGAGTGAAAGGCCAACACTTTCTTATTTGTGTGATTCTGTGTCAAGATCTTGTCAACAGAAGTTTGCAGACCACATTAATCACAATTATCAGTGCTCTGAGTTACTTCTAAGGAAATATTTTCAGTTGGGTAACTTTGCCTCAGGTTTTATAGATAATGCTTTCTGGTTTAGGGAAAAAAGTATGAAAAAATCTTATTGATGCAGTATTTCACATCTCTGTGCTTGAGTCATTAGTCAGTTTCTTCACGCGTCTCTAAGGGAGAACAAACAAGAAAGCATTTTAGAACATGCCATAAATTACATGAAGAAACATTTTTGCAAGTCTTCATTCTGTATTGTTATGGGTTTCTGTTGCAGTCTCTGCTGAGGCAGAAATATGTGGTATACCTTGTCAAAAAAAAAAAAAAATTTCCATCACTTCCATTAAATTGAACATTTATGACTACTCCAAACAATTAATATAATATTGCAGATTAAACATGCTCCCCTTTTGAGTCAGCTCTTACTTTCTTGTGCCTCAAACTGCCTGAGAACTGACCACAGACAGAGCCATAGCAATACTAGGGCAGAAGAGCTCTGAAAAGGGGTAATAAAGAAAGGTATGTCTACCTACAGCTTTGTCGATAAGTATAAATAGAGGATTTCAAGTTCTCAGTTCTCCATGCCACAGCAAGTGCAGCTTCTGTCAAGAGGCCAAGCAAAATATTTTTGAAAGTTTCATGATGTTCTGTGAGGATATTGTTTCATGGTGTCCAGATAAAAAGAAGATACTGGAGTTTTTCAAGTTTTGCCAGTCGCTGCATGACAATTGACTACCTTGAGCAATAACCAGAGAGAGTTAGGGAACCTTAATATCTCCTGTTATTTCTGATTATTTTAAAGCAGGGTCATATTCAGCAATTTAGGTAAAAATGGAGAAGAAGAACCTGCAAAAGGGCAAAGAACAAATCATTCAAAAGGAGCAGCCAGGAGGAAAGAGAGAATATGTAGAGGTTGGAGGATATAGACACTGAGAGAGATGATGAAGGCACAGTGATGTTAGACAAAATATGTGGTATGAGGAACTGCATAAGAGTAAACAGAAATATGAGGAAATACTGGGAAGCAATGGGGTCCAATGCACTGTCTGGAAGGCAGAAAAACAGCTTTTAGGGACTGGAAGAGTAGAAGCTTAAAAGAATGAGAGGGGTTAAAAAACCAAGTCAGCAGGTACCCAGGCAAATTTAAGCTTCCTAAAGGAATCTTTCTTCAGGAAAGCCTGCAAAGAGGAATGCTGAAACAGCATACCTACCAGCAACTGAATGTCTATGTTCCAATGTTACCACACACACAGAAGAGCAGCAAAAAAAACAGCAATGAAAAAATGCTCCTTGTTTTCAGGCAAGTATTTTTACTGACTTTTTTTGTTCATATTTATTTCTCCAATAAGCAATACTTATTAAGACTCTGGAGAGTGGAAAGAGTTCTTACAGGGTTTTTTGTTTTCAGGCTGAAGTGATGAATGAAAACTGGAACTGTAACTGCTTTCCTATGAAGTTTCTTCAAGAGTTGTGTTTCTTCCTGCCTTTTCTCCAGCTCCATAACCCCACAGAGAGAAAGAGTGATGAAATCTCAGGAGGATCCAGATGGTTTAAAGCTCTGAATTCCCTGAAGCCTTGTCAGGGCTACCAGGTGAGACAACATCTGGAGCTTGGTAACAGCCCTGCCAAGGAAAGGTAACTACTGCCTTAGCTCAACCTGCCCCAAGTATATCCAAATGATACAGGTGTTGAATCTGGCCTACCTTATGGCCAAC